TTTTTGTAAATTATTAATTATATATTCTATATAGATCCAGGATAAAGGTGAAGATGAAGATGAAGATGAGATTGAAGAGGAAGAGGAAGAGAAAGAAGAAGTTATTAAGAAGACTAAAGTTCTAGAATTCACTTCGGAAGATTTGTATAGGAAATTACTAGAAGTTATGGAGGCAAGAGGGAAAAAGGTAATTATTTGTTTCTTTGAAAAAGCTTCTTTTTTCATATTAGAAATTATATTTGATCTAATTCAAAATTTTTATTTTATTTCATCTAATTAATAGAATACAGATAGATTGGAGCAAATTAAAATTCTTCAAAGTTTATTGGAAGTTGCTTCCACACCTTATCAACAAATACGCGTACTGCTTGCTTTGATTCCTGCTCAATTTGATTATAGTCCTAGTATGAGCATATATATGAATATTGATATGTGGAAAAGGTTTTATTTAACAGAGTTTTATAAAATGTCAATTTCATTCAAAAAAAAATTTTTATTATTATTATTAACTCAATATTATAATTATATATAAAAAAAATGTTACTAAGCACCTTAAAAGAAATCAATCAACTTTTAGCAATACTTGAAAATAATCCACATTTCATAATTCATGAGGTTGTTGATGATCAAGAAGAGGATAAGGAGCCAGTAGTTGAGCCTGGTCAAACTTTTGGTATACGTGGTTCAATTCTTTCTTTTATTGATAGATTAGATGATGAATTTACAAAATCTTTACAAAATATCGATCCACATACTACTGATTATGTGGATAGATTGAAAGATGAAACATTCTTATATTCTACTATTGTTAGAGGTCAATTATACTTTGAAAAACATAATTTAGCTGATAACATAAGTAGAGTTATAATGAGGAGATTGGAACATTTATACTATAAGGTATGATAATTGTTAGATTATTGATTATTGATTATTGATAGTTGATTATATTATTGACAGTTGATCATTGATTACTGTACTATATTATTATTATACTTATTTCATCTGAATTAGCCGGATCAAGTTATTCAAACAGTCGAAAATACAGTGAATCAACAAATTCCATCAGGAATATCATCTACAATCATCCCACCCCACTTAACACAAGATTCTTCAGATCTTATTCATGCTCTTTGTGTTTATTTGTACAAGAATGGTGAATCTTTACTCCGTACACGTGCAATGCTTTGTCACATCTATCATCATGCTTTACACAATCGTTTCTATACTGCTCGTGATATGCTTTTAATGTCACATTTGCAAGATACAATTCACCAAAGTGATGTTGGAACACAAATTTTACATAATCGTACAATGGTTCAAGTTGGTCTTTGTGCTTTTCGTGAGGGAATGATTAAGGAAGCACAAAGTTGTTTAATGGAAATTTGTGGAAGTGGTCGAGTAAAAGAATTGTTGGCTCAAGGTTTACAATTACAAAAATATGCACTTCCACCAGAACAAGAAAAATTAGATAAACAACGTCAATTACCATTTCATATGCATATCAATTTTGAATTGTTAGAATGTGTTTATTTGACTTGTTCTATGTTATTGGAAATTCCAAGTATGGCTGCTGCTGATTCCAATCCTGAAGCTCGAAAAAAAATAATTAGTAAACCTTTCAGAAAATTGTTAGAGTATAGTGAAAAACAAGTGTTTAGTGGTTGGTTATATTTACATAAAACCTTTTTATAAATATGAATATTTTTGTTCTAATAATAATTATTATGGTTATAAAAATTATGATAATAACAGGGCCAGCTGAAAATACAAGGGATCATATAATGGGTGCAGCTAAAGCACTTGCTGTTGGTGAATGGCAAAGATCTCAAGAACTCATTGGTGCTATAAAAATATGGGATTTGATGCCTGAGAAAAAAAAGATAATAGAGATGTTGAATCATAAAATTCAAGAAGAAGGTCTTCGCACTTATCTTTTCACCTACTCCACTTACTATGCAAACTTGGGACTTGAACAATTGAGCAATATGTTTTCTTTACCTGTAAACAATGTCACTTCAATTGTTTCTAAAATGATTTGGAATGAGGAATTAGCTGCATCATTGGATCAAGTAGAAAATGCCATAGTGTTACACAGAGTGGAACCTACAAAAGTTCAACAATTGGCTTTAATGCTTGCTGAAAAAGTAGTAACATTTGTTGAAGCTAATGAAAAATTATTGGAACAAAAGCAAACAACTGGTAACCAAAGAGATCAACCAAGACAAAGAGGCAAGAAAAATTTTCATATACCATTTAAAAGCAACAGAACTAAATTATCACAACAGAATTAATTAGAATTTATTTAAATAAAAAAATTTCAAAAAAATGATACAAAATAAATGCATTATATAAGAGATATTCATTATTGTGATTATGATCAGGATTATTGTGAGCAGAGAGCACTGAACTATTAATGCTCAAACATATTAAATGAACATCATTTTATCAAAGCATAACATTTTGTGAAAGTATGAGATTATAAAAAAAAACAAGGTGGATGTTATTTTTTTGCATGAATGATCATATGATTTACATACCGCCTTTAGAAAACCTTTAAAAGTGTTTTATTTGTATTGCAAAATCTTCTATTTTAATTACAAAGGTGCTGCTGTCTGTAAGTCAGATTTAAAGAAGTTGTATCTAGCAACCAAGTTGTCATACTATTTGCAAACCAAGTGTCAGAATCTGTAATTCTCTGGTAATATGTAAATGTATCTGTAATTCTGCAAATGATGCAATCATTGCATAATAAACATGACACTGTATCACAAAATTTTAAATTTTAAAATTTTTAGAAACTTCAGAAACCAATAGTTCTTCTAATTGTGGTAGACAGTTTACAGGTGTATGGAGACAATTTATTCAAGGTGAAGAAAATGGACATGGCATATATGAAGGTGAATGTATACATCATCATAAAAATGTTCCATTTGCAAAAATCTCAAGTCTTACATTCTCATTTAACAAATGAATGCAATAAATGTGAAGAGGATATTAAACCAATATATATGTAATACTGAAATTTTTTGAATTACACAAAATTACACATATTACAAAATTAGAGAAATTTATAGTATTTTTCAGACATTTGCAGAATTACAGAATTACATATACATTTACATAGAATTACAGAATTACAGATAAATTTGCATACTGTGAGATTGGAATCCACATCTCACACAAATATCTAGATTTATTTAGTTTATACAGCTGTGGCCAAGTGCTCCTTGATGGTTTTAATTCTCAATTGCAATTGCTTTTCTGATGTGTATTATATAATAGTGCTTGGTCTATTAATCTATGTGGGCAATTTTTACTTCTCTGTCCAGTAACATTTTCTCAGCAGTTCTTTGTTATCTGCCTGAGCTAGTATGTTTCCAAGATATTTACCTTCCTAAATATTCACCTTGGTTCTTTAGGCTTTCCTCTTTTTATGTTTAGGTCCCAGTTGGTTGGGCATGTCTGTTGTGTTTTTTAGGTTCAGTGTCTGAACTGACCGCACCTAGCTAGGGTTTGCTCCTCTTAGGCATTGGCCTAAGCTAAATAAAAATAAAGAAAATAAAATTAAAAGAAATATATACAACTATACTTATCAAAGGCGTCCTCCTGACAAGATAGTAATTAATTAATTAGTTGGATGAGTTTAGCAAGCAAATTAGTCCTCCATTGACAAGAGTTTTAGTTAAAAAATATTTTTATGTCTATATTTTATTAAGATATTATGAAGTTAAGAAAACTACAACATTATTTATTGCGCACAGGAAATTTGTACTGATTTTCCACAGACCTCTTACAAACTAAAAACATTACTAACCATTTCTAAATATTTTTATATTTTTGATTAATATACATTCTGAAAATTTTCTGAAAAAAAAATTTTCACATATTAAAATCTTCTTTAAGGTTTTGTATAAACAGAGAAACTTTTGTATTTTTTTAAAAAAAGATTTTCTGGCAAATCGTTATATGGAAGATTTTAATTATTGATTTCAGCTCTGAGTAAGGTTGTGGGTGAAACTTTCCCATAAATCAATCAACAGAGTTTTGACAAGTTATATATTAATTGTTTATTAGAGTTTCAACAGAGTTTCACATTTGGGGGTTTTGTCAATCGTCAGAGTTTTGACAAGGTATGCATACTAATTGTTCATTAGAGTTTGACAGTCACTAAGAGGTTTCAGCAAGCAACCTTAGCCCTGAGGTTCATAGCATATCAGCCGATTTGTTTTTTTTCAAACCTTATATCTTATTGTGTCTCGACGTTAAACACATTAAACATGATGTGTAAACTGATCGATAGAATGATAATTAACCCCAAATAATTTATTTGCTCCACTAAAAAAACCATTTTACTATCCGATAGCCCGTCAAACTAATGGCCCACCTCAAAACCAAATGGATTTTTGCTAGTACAGTAGTATAACGTTATGATCATACCGTATTGGATTTTGGGGTTCAAACAAAATCAGCGCATATGGACATAAATAACAGCTAATAATTTTGGGGGGTTATGAGGCTTCAACATCTACTTTGTCTCAAATCGGAATGGCTGCTGATTCTATTTCTCAACCCTATAAAAAACCCGTTTAAAAGGCACATACAATATAAAACAGTGTGAAACATACGGAATCTATTACTAAGGATGTTAGCCGAAATTGTTTTTGAAAAAATCAATTTCGGCAAGCAATTTCAGATTCACAATATTTTTCATATTAAAGACCATAAAAAGACAACCTAGCATTTCGGCTATTATGTTAATGAGTCCAAATAATTTTGGATATAATTTTGGCAACTAATAAAGTTAATTTCAGAAACTATTTTGGCATTTCGGATTCGGCAATGATCATTTATTAAGAGAGGCAATTTCGGCTAACATCTATATCTATTACAACATTAAATATAATCATAAAATTATGAAACAAATAGTACTAGCACCTATTTCCACATGTAAAGTACTGATATTGAAATAGCATTGAAATAATATTATATTGTTTTATGTAATAAATATTAAATATTTTATTATTTTACATTTTGGTCTCATAATAATAAATAATGGCCCATTTGTAATTAAAAATATTTCCACAGTTTTCAAATATCGTTATTACTATAAAGTTGATTTTATTCTTTGTGTATTATTATTATCACTTTATTACATATGAAAATAGATGGAATTTATATTTATCAAAAGTATTAAATTGTTATTCGTAATGAAAAAAAAGCCACAGTAAAAATCATTTTGCCATTAGTCATAATATTTCTATATTCTTTAGAATCCCAAGTTTAAATTTTAATGTAAAAAATTACAATAAATACAGTCAACCCCCTCTAAGTGCACCCCCTTGGGAATGAGTGATAGCATGCACTTAGAGGGGGTGTGCACTTAGAGAAACAAAGCATTTCATTGGTTACACATGACTCCATTAAAGAATAAAAATTTTTTAATTAATTATAACATTATTATCACTAAAAAAAAATTTTATATAATTATTGATTAAGATAAGATTCTATTGTAGTTTGCCTCATTGTATTTATTGTTTCAAACTAATATATCTATCAAGAGAATTAACCAGTTTTATTTGTTGACTAGAATAAACAAAATTCATATTTTTGAGAATTAGATAAAGTTACTCTTTTTGGAGATGTTGTACATACGTGAAAATGAAATTATGTGAATTTGCAATTCACATATGTGAAATTCAAATTAACCAATCAGAATTTCACCCACTCCATAATATTTCAATTCACATAATTTCAATTTCACATACAACAGAAATTTTATTTAGAAGCAATAAATGAATAAAATATTTAATGAGATGAGTGTGAGTGCAAAAAATTAGATGGTTGGGTATGTAAGAGTATATATTATTTTTAATTTATTAATGATAAGGTTAATTTATAATAGAAGTTTTATTTTTAAAGCTGATTACAAGAGTTTAGTTATTAAATAAGATTCTTGATTCATGTCTTATTTATAATAATTTCAACTATATAAGCTTCTTTGTCTGCATTCTTGTACTTTTGTTTTAATAACCTTCATATTTATTAAAAGAAAGAATTCTTTATTTCCCTGTCACTTAATAAAAATGAACATCTCTTACAAAATAATTATGTCATACTAATAAATTTAATTCTTTACCTTTTACTAATTATAAATTAATTCTTTATCATCTCTTACAAAAAATCAATTCTTTAAAGAAAAAGTATTTTAATTTAATAACGTCGCACGATTTTTATTGGACAACGATCATGTGAAAATCACGAGAGTGCACTTAGAGAGGAGTTTTATATAGATGGAATGAAAGCGTGCACTTAGATGGGGTGCACTTAAAGGGTTAAACTAATTAATATTAAAAATATTAATATTAATTTTAATATATTTGTAAGGGATGTGTCTTTAATCGATTCTTGTCTCACAATCAAACTATTTTCTTCATTAATATTAATATTTATCATCGTTTAGTATTATTACTATATCCTTTTATATTAATATGTGAAGCGAAAATTTAAAAATACAAGAATTTATAGTCCGCTGTGACATGGTTTATTATGAGGAATGTAAAAATAATTTCACCTGCAGTGTACAATTCTTCTTGGCCACCCGCCATCTATTATTATTGTTGATCATTCTTAACATTTCAGTTATGCTGAGAAAAAATAATAAATGGCGATATTCAATTGTTTTATATTATTAATAATATTATCATTCCCGATACCCGATATGACAAGCGAAGTACAATTATGTCATACTTGTTTAACCGTTTATGGCTTTTTATATTAAAATATTAAATATAAAATAAAGGAGTTTTCAATTCAAATTTTTTTGATTAGAAATTTTTTAACAACCATAATAGAGATGAACGACAAAAAAAATCTTACAAAAGATGAACTTGGTAAAGTTTTTTGAGAGTATTACTTTATTTGCCCCTCCAATAAATTTATTTATAACTGATTATTCCATTAATAATTTAATTTTTTTAGCAAATTATTTAAAAAATTTAAAGGATAAAGCACCTCCTAAACCTTCAAGTCTAATAACACCACCAAAAAGTCCAATAGCCTCCACTGCTCCATCCAACAACAATGTTCTTTT